CCATCAGTAGCGTCCCCATCAACTAACGTAGCACCCTTAGTAGTGCTCAAACTGCCAGATGAGCCAACATCTATCTCGCGGGCCCGCTGCTGTCTCCTCTCCTCATCAAGTACAGACTCTCTCGTAGCTATCTCCAACTACTGGCGCTCCTTCTTCTTCAGTCATCGAGCCTCCTCAGTTTTGTAAGTGTGGTCGAAGCGGTGGCGCTTCCCCTCAGCAGAGGAAGAGTTTGGTGGTAGCCTAGTATCGCCGAAAAGAGTAGTGATCACCACCTCATCATTCGATACCACAAGGGAAGACTCAGACTCAGTTTCAGTAGGGGCTAGGAGTGAAACAACATTAGCTTGGAGGCTAGCCAACTTTGTCTGGAACGCGGTCTCATCGATGGTAGGGGCGGGCTTCTCCAGGAATCTCAACTCGATAGCATCAACACTTATGAATGACCTGAATCTTTCGATCCATCATCTTCTCCATCCTTACCTCAGACTCCACAATAGAGTGCTGCACCCACGACTTCATATAATGTTGCAAGGTGGTCATCGAGGTCTCCAACTTATGGACTCTGGCTAGAGGAATGACAGTGGACCATGAAGAGGGAGTGGCTCGGGATGAGCTAGTGGCCTGACTAGTGGCCGTAAACGGTGGAGCCTAGGCAACTGATGTAGGGGCCAGAATGGAATTGTCATCAACCGAGATCTGCTTAACATCCGCAACAAGATCATCACCCAAAGGAGTTACCTTAAACTGTGGCTCTCTCTGAGGTACATTAAGGTTGGCATCATATCGAATGAGACTGATGTCCAGAGTCTTGGTTGCATCAAGAAACCGGTCACCATGCCAAATGAGAACAGAAGCATCCCTGCAGAGGTGGAAAATGAGACAAGGGAAAGGCAGTGTGGTGGTGGTCTTGAAGGCCCTCTCGTAGATCTCAACTATCAAGATGCGAGCAAAATCAATATCTAAACCTGCTAGAATGGCTACAATAATCACAGCCTGGTCCCATGTAACCACATTGTCCGCTTGAGTCTGGGATAGTCTTTTCCGTTCCTACAACCAGAAGAACTTCCCAGTGAAGCTCAGTGTAGCCTTCCTAATACCCAGGCTAGGAGTCGTAAACCACTCAGCGAGCTCCCCATCCTCGGCAATATGATGAGCCAACCACCTCAACTATGTCTCCCTCTTCTCGGCATTCCTCTGAAATGCCCCACTCTAAATGATGTCCATTCGATAGTCATACTCTGCTATATTTATAGGCCTAGTGTGGGTTGGGCCATATAAAAACTTGCGAATGGTGACCTCTGAGATGTCTACCGGAAAGCTCTGTACCAAAGTGGACTGAAGTGGAGGCTGAGCTGCGAGTTTGGCCCGTTTAGTGATGGAGTTTCTGACAATGGCAGCATAAGAAACATAAAACTCTCTAGCAATCTCCTCGCTGTATTTCCCCTCGTTCCGTGCCATCCATTCGCATCGGTGCCTCTGGAAGAGCTCATCAATAACTGGTGTAGTATGGAGGATGCTTGTAAGGACCATGTGCTCCTCAGTCACAATCCTGGCCATTTGCTAGTGCTCATTCATCATCGTGCAATTCAGATATATCTGATGTTGGACAGGGACACACCATCTGTTCGGCTCATCAGCCTTAGGGAGATGCCCAACTATGGTAGGTACCGCACTGTCGCCTGACCTATCGGCCTTAGATGAAAAAGAGGTGCTGTCGTTAGGACTAGAGCCAAACTATGACTCTGAGCCAGTCTGTGCTTCGATCTGTATGGCCCCCTTCTCAGACTAGATGGCAGTGACCTCGTCGTAGCTAACCTGCTAAACTTTGTTCCTAGTAGTGCGGGGGGCGTTGGAGAGAACCTTATGGAAGGTGGGACGTAATCTGTATCACTGTCCGCCTCTATCATACGTCGGTAGGGGGCAACTGACTAGGACTTGATCCTTCGTGCATAAGTAAGAGCTTGCTTTAGAGCCATGTTACCTGTGGAAGCTAAGTTAGTACCAAAACAACAAAAAAAGACCAAAAAAATAATTTTAGAACAAGACTCGATCCGATACAAAAAATAAAAAAATTCTGGACAGTAGCTGAACTGTTGACCCACGGTGGGTACCTACAGTCCGTCGATGGAACAACGGTCCGTGGGTCCCCTGCGTAGGTCAGATTTCCCATTTTTGGGTCTTAGATGGTTGAACCTCAGATGTGCAGAATAGTCCATCGATGGAACAACGGACCGTAGTCCATACTGTGGTTCTACACTTAAGCAATTTTGTGTGTGCTACTAGTCCGTGGACCTTGACCTACCGTCCGTAGGTTGGCCTACGGTCTGTGGGTTGGGGTCGTGGGTCAATGTTGTGCCAGGTTTCAGATTTTTGAACTGACACTTAATGCCATAATTCAACAAACACGCAATCAAATTAGGTCTAAACATGCATTTCAACATATATTTTGGTAGTTCATCATTCTTAGGGTTGTGATCATTCAATTTTATTCACATTTACACAAAACAATTGAACAACCCTAAGTGAAAACTTCCAATTTAGACCTATTAACCAATTTATGCGGTTTTAATTTATAACACACTCACATACTCTCAATCCAAAGGTATTTCTAACTGCAATTCGACATTCAAATAGGAGATTAACAACCCAAGGTGAAGTTTCAACTTCGTGATTTCATGATTTGAACAATGAACAGTGAATTCAAAGTTGGGTTCAAATCGTTTACACAAGCAATCGAAGTTGGTGAGTGTATTAGTGCAATGAATATCTTTGAACCTTTGTTAGCCTTTGACATCGAACCCTGACCATAGAATCGTTGGGGAAGAAAATTGATGTGATTAGGGAGAGAAAAAAGAGATATGGGAGATGAAGGATTGATATGGGAGATTTGGGAGTGATTGGGGGATTGATTTATGATTGTGGGTATTTGAAGGGTTGAAAAATGGTTGGGAGGAAATTTTAGAAGTGGGTGATGGTTTTAAAAATTAAAGGTTTTATAAAGTAGGGGTCCGGGTCAGGTTGGACCCACAAGACCCTGTCGATGGTCCGTGGGTCGACCTACGAATTGTAGGTTTGGTCCGTAGGTCACTATGACACTTAGAAAAATTAGAAAACTTACCTGGGATCTACAGATTCCATACACGGTGGAATCTGCAAAAAAAATTTGCGAACCAACGGATAAGATCATGAGAAGCAACCAATACCTGGTCGTTTGGGAATGCATCATTAATCTCAATCCCATCTCCTAACGTGAGCATAGCTTCCTCCTCTAATATGGACAAATGGTTGGCAACCTGATTTATGTTCCCTTTCTATCCTTCACCTCAAAATCTAACTCTTACAACAACAATACCAATCTAATCAACCTCGGTTTTGCATCCTTTTTAGCCATCAGATACCTTAATGCAGAATGGTTAGTATGCACTATGACCTTAGTACCAAGCAAGTAGGATAGAAAAATTTTAATGCGAAAACCACAGCAATGAGTTCCTGTTCATTCACATTATAGTTCTTTTGAGCCATATTCAGAGCTTTGTTGGCATAGTAAATCAGATAAAGAATCTTCTCTCGCCTCTGTCCCAATACCACACCAAGCGCCACTCCACTCGCATTACACATTACTTCAAACGGTTTCCCCCAATCCGGTGAAATAATGATAGGTGCTGACACTAACCTTTCTTTCAACTCTCCAAATGCTCTTAGACAAGCATTTTCAAAATCAAACTTACACTCCTTTTAGAGAGCTTTGCACAATGGGTGTGCAATTTTAGAGAAATCTTTGATGAACCTCTACTAAAAACATGCATGCCTAAGAAAACTTCTAACACCCTTAACAGAGACAAGTGGTGGAAGCTTTTCTATTACCTCAACTTTGGCTCAATCAACCTCAATACCTTTATTAGAAATCCGATGACCCAGAACTATACCCTCTATCACCATGAAGTGGCTCTTTCCCAATTGAGCACAAGATTGCACTCTTCACATTGTTTCAGTACCTCGGCCAGATGTATCAGACAACCATCAAACGAGTCACCTACTACAGAGAAATCATCCATAAGTACCTCAACGTGTCCTCCACCATATCTGAAAATATTGACATCATACACCTATGTAAAGTAACATGAGCATTACACAACCTAAATGACATCCTTTTGAAGACGAAAGTCCCATATGGACAAGTAAAGTTGGTTTTCTCTTGATCTTTCGGAGCTATGGAGATTTAATTGTAGCCCGAATACCCATCTAGAAAACAATACCAACCCTTACCAGTGAGACGATCCAGCATCTGGTCCATGAATGGCATCGGGAAGATCTTTTTTTGTCCAGGCATTTAGCTTGCGGTAGTCCATGCACACTCTCCATCCAGTCACAGGCCTCATCGGAACAGTCTTATTTTTTGCATTAGGAACTACAATAATTCCACCTTTCTTGGGTACACACTAAACATGACAGACCCAACTACTATCTGCAATGGGATATATGACTCCACCATCAAGCCACTTAATAATTTCCTTTTTCACTACCTCTTGCACATGTGAATTAAGTATCCTTTTGCGCTCAATACTTGGCTTGCTGTCCGACATGAGTTGGATTTTATTAGAACAAATGCTAGGAAAAATCCCAAAAATGTCTGCAATAGTCCATCCAATAGCTCGCTTGAACCTCTTCAACACAGAAACTAATGCCTCTACTTGTTCCCCACTCAAATCTAAAATAATGTTTACCGGTAAAGTGGTATCTCTCCCCAAGAATACATACCTTAAATGAGATGGTAGAGCCTTGAGCTCCAATTTTGGAGGCTCTTCAACAGATGTTTTTGTAGGTGGAGAGTCGCGATTCGTCATATCTAACTCCAATCTTTTTGGTTTGGAATGGAATTTGAACCTATCAAGTGCGGCAACTAATTCATCATAGTCTTCAATACCATCACCATCAAAATTCATCATTACCGCTGCCAGTGCGTCAACACCCAACCTTTCTTTAATAGACATATCAGAACCTCATTCCATAATATGATGCACCACTGATACAAACTTGAGATCACTTTCCTGCTTCATAGACCTACATATATTAAAAGTTACCTCCTCATTATTTAGTCGAAACTTCATCTGCCCTCTCTCCATATCGACTAAGGCATACCCAGTAGCAAGGAATGGTCTCCCTAAGATGATGGGAACCTCAAAATCAACCTCACAATCAAGTATCACCAAATCCACCAGAAAATAAACGACTCCAATTTTTACAAGGACATCTTGGAGAATACCAATAGGCTTCTTCACAGTTCTATCGGCCATGAGTAGACGCATTGCAGTTTGTTTTGGAGCCCTTAAACCCAACTTTTTATATATGGACAACAACATCAAGTTGATGCTAGCACGCAAATCACACAAAGCTTTTGCAAAGTGGAAAATTCCGATGGTACAAGGAATAGTGAAAGCTCCAAGATCTTCTTTCTTTTGAACAAGTGACCTAGTAAAAATAGCACTGCAATGTTGCAACGTCTGATTATTCACAAAACTGATGGCCCTTTTCTTGGTCCCCAAGTCTTTCATAAATTTCACCTACCCATATATTTGCTCCAAAGCCTCTATCAACGGAACATTGATGGAAAGTTGTTTCAACATAGTTATGAACCTGCGGTATTTTCCTTCTTCGGTCTACTTCACCAATCTCTGTGGGAATGGAGGTGGAGGTCTAGGCATGGGAACAACTTTTTGGGTCACCTCTATTTTCTTCTCTGTAGCATTGTTCGACTCTCCAGTAACCTCAATCTCATATGTATCTTGTTCTCCCACAATTTCAACCTCAGATGGCATAGGGGATCAATGGTTGGTTTACCTCCTTGAGTAGTGACTGTCATACAATGCCCATCATTCTTTGGATTCTGGATGGTGTTTCTAGGAAGTGTGCCAGGCTGATGTGGGTTCATAGTAGTGGACAACTGACTAAATTGTTGCTTAAGTTTCTTGATCGACACTGCTTGGGCATCAACTTTTTGACTGATTCTAGACAAGTCAGTTCACATCTCTTTCATATTCTCATCAGTTGCATCAAACCTCTGCATCATCTTTTGCATCATATCTTCAATGCGTGACATACTACCCCCAAGCTCTCTATTGCCAGATTCCATATTCCCAGGTGGAACATAGGGTCCAACTCTCTCAATTATGTTGCCATAGTTGTTCCTGTTGTAGTTGTTATCATGATCGTAGTTCCCATCCCATACATAGTTTCCCTCCCAATTGTAGTTTCCATAGTTCCAACATTGGTTTCCTTAACCTCGGTGCCAATTATTCGAGTTGGAACCTTGGGTGTTAGCTCAGAAACCTCCCATATGATCATTTACTCATACACATCCTCCTCATAGTAGCATTCCTCAACTGGTGGTGGTGGGATTCTAGTTAGGTAGTTTACTACATTCACCTTTTCTACATTTCCACTCACATGGTTTTTTCCTCAATCACTAATTAGAATCGAATACTCAACGTATGTACACGATAATCTACTTGAAACAACCCTCAAAACACTACCACTTATCTCAAGAACTCATCAAAATCCAACAATCAAGATTATTAAAGGTATTTCAAGAAAACTCAACAAGAATTCAAATCCTTCAACTTTAAGAACAAATTTGCACTGAAAATAGTATGATTGGTGTTTGGGTGAGTGAACCCAACACTATGAGAACTCACTTACCTCTTGGGGATTAAACCCTTGGCGAAAAAACCTTTGATTCGCAAGAAAACTAGAAGAACACCTTGACTTTTTTCCTTTTCTCCTCTTCTTAAACTTCTCTCAAAACCTTAGCGTAGATTAGGATTTGTAAAACTGAGCCAAATCAGTTTAGACCCCAAATTATTTACTAAAAATGGTTTTAGCTGATTGGTCAAAGAAAAGACCTAAATACCCTTCATATTTTTGGGTAACTTTCCTTAAATGGACAGCCTGACTTCAAACGGGCCTATCTCCCTTATATGAGCTCAAAAATTAGCAAACTCGGTGGCATTGGAAAGAGGATTCCAAGACCTTTCATTTGATATCTATTGTCCACCTTACTCATCATACACTGAAATTTATGATCGTTTGAAGTTGACCCAAAACTCATAACTTATGCATAACTTGCAAAATTTTAGATTTTGCTATTTCCAATTTAGTTCTTTCCATTTTTAGGTCTTTCAAATACCGAAGTGTTACAATATCTCCCCCTTGGGAATATTCTTCCTCAAATGAGATTACTCTAAGTAGACTAAGGGTGGTAATATCTAACATCTAGCTCAAACACTCAATATGCAAAGTAACACAACATTTCAACTAAAATAAATTCCAAGAAAAGGGTTAGTACCTTAATTTATAATTTCTCCGGACTCAAAGAGATGTGGGTATCCCTTCTTCATATCCTCCTCAGCCTCCCAAGTAGCTTCCTCAATAAACTGATTCCTTTATAAGACCTTGACTGATGCTACTTCCTTGATTCTCAACTTGCGAACGTAGCGATCTAGAATATGAATGGAAATCTCCTCGTAAGATAAGCTATCCTTAGTACCAATGTCTTCAGTCGGTCTAATAAGGGAAGGATCGCCCATACACTTCTTCAACATGGAAATGTGAAATACTGGATGAACCATTGCTAACTCTGAGGGTAGCTCCAATTCATAGGCTACATTACCAATCATTTTGGATATCCTATAAGGACCAATATACCGGGAACTAAGCTTCCCCTTCTTGCCTAACCTCATAGAACCCTTCATAGCTAAAACCTTCAAGTAAAACTAATCATCTACTTCAAACTCTAAGTCTCTTCTCCTAACATCAATATAGGATTTCTGACGACTCTGCGCTATGTTCAACTTCTCTTGAATAATCTTCACTTTCTCCGTAGTTTGATGAACCAAATCTAGTCCTATCAACCCAGCTTGACCAACCTCAAACCATCCAATTGTGACGACCTAGGGGTCCCCCTAGATGTAACATGGTGAACTCGACCCCAAAGGGGTCTCATACAAGCCCTTAGCATAATCATAAACATAAGTAATAGAAATGACGTGAAATTTAACATTTTTTTACAATTGAAGTCTTTTCATACCATAAATAGAAGTTTAGACATTGTCTCATTAAGCATCTACTATAATCGAGGGTCAATAGGGTCACAACCCTTTTATAATAAAGTCTCAAAGTAGAATATATGAAAGGAAAGTAGAAATGAATTAGTCTTGTCCTCAAACCATGAGGACTCACCGAGTGTGGAGAATAGTCAATCCAAGCTCTACTCAAAAGGAGAAGTATACCTCAACGATCAGAACCTACATTTATAGAAATGTAGAAAATATGGGTTAGCACAAAAATTGTACCAAGTATGGAAGCCATGCATAAAGATTCTTAAATCATGTAAAAAGGAACATTTAGTTAAAATCATGCACTTTGTCAAGTTTAAGAATCATCATGCACACTAGTGTACTTACATAGTCAATCCATCTCATAAGCAACCCTAAACTACCATAATCATGCATAACATACCTTGATCTCATCCATAGTCAACACTCATAGGCAAGGATACATTTATGTTCATAGCTTGTAATAAGTAAAGTTACTCTTAGCAACAATTCATATCATGCATACATAAATTCATATATCTTCATGGCATAAGGAAACCACACCATAACCACTTTTTAAGTCTACTTGTGCAATGTATAAGTGAAGTCCCATACCGCCACTCATACTGGGAAAACCTCATTAAGAAGTCATAAGTATAGTTCATGTTCATATTCATGGTTCATGTAAAGCATGCATTAACTCATAAAGAATCATGCCATAAAATAACATACCACAATCACTCTGAAAGTCTACTTGTGCAATGCATGAATGAAGTCTCATACCCCCATTCATAATAAGTAGAATCCTCTTGAGGAACCATAGTACATAACTCATATTCTTGTTCATAGTTCATGTTTCTTATTTATGTTCATCTTATAGTTCATGTTCTTGTCTTGTAGGGAAATCTCCTTAACCGACATAGACCATGTGAGCTACATGGAATCCGATGTCATTCCCCCACACCGAAAAGAGGTGTCCTATTTGTCTAAGATAGAATTAGTTTGTTAGCTTAGGTGGATCCACTAGCTAAAGACCTATGTGGGCACATAGTTACGGGATAAGGAGATTGCTACTAGAAACCTAGACTAACTGAGGTATAAGGTTTCCATCTCATGAGATAACTATTTTAGGAACCCGGACTAACTAACGTAGAAGGAACCCATTGGGAAGCTGTACTAACTGGTGTAAAAGCTTCCATCTCATACTCGTATCCACTCGGTGCTAAGCAAAATTCCCTTTAATATTCATGTTATGTCTTCACTTAAGTTCATGTTCATGAAAGAATCCCCTAGCAATCAAACCAATATGGTATCATGGTAGCTCATGGATTCATTAGGTTAGAATGGTCTTTCAACCTTAGAATCATTAATATATGAGTAAACCTTTCACATCATGTTCATAGTGTTTCATGAGAATAGCCTTTCAATCAACACAACAACATTATTATAGTCCTAGACAATTCATGCATAGTCATATGTAAGGGTAAGGGGATAATGATCTTTCAACAATACCACAATTACACATTAGTCATAGGATCTTCAATTTATAAGTGAATCATAAGCTCATACATAATTCTCATCAACATGTACAAACCCTAACAATTTGCCCTTCAAGGCTATGAAGCAATCTCAACCCAAGCATTTACAATTAATACACTAGATATGGGAATATAATAATTCAATTTCTCAATCAATATAAACATGATCAATTGACATACTTCTATAATCGATCAACCCATATCATGAATTCACAATTTAGCAATATAGAGGATTCATGGGTTCTTGGGGGGATTTTTTTTTATCATAAATCAACAATTAATCATCAATTCAACCATAATACACCATAATCAACCATAATCAACAATAATCAACCATAAATCAACAATTGAAAGCGTTTTGAAAGAGAACCCATGACTTTGATTGGAACCCTAGGTTTTGGGGAAATTGAAAGCTTTGAAATAAAGTTTTGAAGGGACTCTATGGGTGGAAACTACCCATAGATGAAAATCCACCATACCTTATGTAGATTCCTCACTAAATTGAAGAGAATACGCTGCTCCTTGAACCCTAAACTTGACGTTGTTCTTGTTCTTCAATGGAGTCTTAGAGAGAGAAATATTGGAGAGGGGAGTTGGTTATGATTTGAGTCTTGTGAGTTATGAGGTGTAAAAAAGGTGGTTAATAGTTAATAAGTATTTATATATGTCTAAATAAACATTATTAACTGTCCCCACCCTTTAATAATTAAAATATAATTTACTTAACTTGACTCACCTTAGGTCGAAACTAAGGCAGCTCTGCACGCCTCATCCATGAACCCCCACCCACGGGGCGTGGATGGACCCACGGACCGTACTGGTCACTCGTGGGTTGGGTCTGCAGTCCTCATCTTGGCCAACCCCCAACCCTCACTCATGAGACCTCACCCACGAGGCGTGAGTGAGTCCACGAACCTTACTATATGTTCGTAGTTTGCAACTGAGACTTTGGAGAATTGGGGGAGGTCTAGCCTTGACCCACGACCCCCACCTACGGGGTGTGAGTCCACCCATGGCTCGTGGGTACCCATTTCGTGGGTCGCTGCCTCTTGGCAGCTTTTTGGTTGCCATCAAGGTCCTCCTCAAGGACCCTTAGTTGGTCCATGGGGGGGGGGGGTCATGCGTTGACGTTTAAGTCCAAATATACTTGCACTAACTAAGGGAGGTTATTTTACGACTCCAATCTTT